ACAAAACTTCTATTTGTTGATGTATCCTGTGCCTCATTCTTTTATTCTAAAATTATCTTACATCGATTCTCTATAAAAAAGAAAACATTTACATACGTTCATGTGCAACGACGATGTGAAGCATGTACATGCGCCCAACTGCATGTATGAAAAATATTACTATAAATTACTCGATGATTCTTTTATTATAACCTTTCATGTTTGACGGAATATCAGAATTAAACTCAACCTACTGTATCGAGAGCGGTTGTATGAAGAACAATTTGAAATAACTTTTTTTTATTATTCTTTGCCAAATAGAATATTATTTTTTATCGATGATGAGAATATCCCTATAGCAATGATTGTATAAATTTTTAATAAAACTAATTAACTATTTACATGATTCTTGTGGTACATAACAAAATGATCCATATAATCGAACTTTTCCCTCAAAATAAGTTATTTCACCTGTTAATGTTTGTAATAATGAACTCTAAAGAAAATCAAAAGTGAAATTATATTCAAATTGACAAAAGCAACAAACTTTTCCAGATCCAACAGGTCCAATAATACACATTAAATCACCAGGATGAGCATTGAATATAATATTTTTCAATGAAAATTTTCCATTCTAAAATATAATAAATTACCATTTTAGCTGCAAGAAAAAGAAATGATATTACTTGTTCCCACTGAGCTGGTTTTAAATTACAAATAACTTCAGATGTTCGATTTATTGAATTATCATCAATCTTATTTATTTCTAAAATATCTTTGATAGATGTTGATAACAATCGATTATCTCTTTCAGATTCATCAAGTAAGAGAAATACCTATATAAAAAAATTTCATTTCAAAGAAAACAACCAAATATCATCGCAAACGAACTCGAATTCGTTTTTGAGCAGCCATATAATGAAGAAGATCACGAATAGCGAAATTAAAAAAATTAACACAACTTTGACGTGTATAACTAAGTAATACGTAGGAAAGAGTAAAGAAACCTGCATCGAATTTCATATCAAATGCCCACATGGTTCCATATATCATTAAAAATGTTACATTGATATAAATATGTGATAAGACTATGTCAGTAGAAGTAACCTTTGACATCATTTTAACACGTTCATCATAATTTTTAGAAGCGAAGTATTAAAGATAACTGATGAACGTGTTAAAATGATGTCAAAGG